TTTCAATTTAATTTAATTACAGTTATGTGAAAAATTATGCATTTTAATTTTTAGCTTTTATTGAAAAACAGAAACAAAATAATAATCCTTTTATACAAAAATAATTAACTAGAACCTTCTTTGGTTCAGAATAAAATTTAAAACACATAAAATCATAACAAAAAAAAATAGGTAGGTAATTCTCAAAATACTAACTATAAAAAAGATAACAAATATAAATTATGTAAAAATATAGTGTTCTTGTTATTTAAATCAGTTTTTGTTATTTAAATTATAATTTAGGAATAGTATTTGAGATATTTTTTCAGTTATATTTTTTCAAGATCGTCCAGCGTCACAGCACTGAGCAGTGAGCTGAGCTGATGAAGCTGTAGCGAGTCACGCGTCGGGTGGTGTAGTGGTGATACGATGACACCGCTGCGCTTTGCGCTAGGTGCGTCATCCGCCAGTTGAACCGATATTGCGTTATAACGCAATTGAGTTAACGCAGTGGATTAACGCACTAGTGTGCGCTTGAGTTAGTGTATCAACGCAGGAAATTTTGCTGCGTTACCCATCTCTAGTAGTGATAAAGAATAAACTGTCAAAATTAATAGAAACAAGAGATTATCTAAATAAAGCCAAAGCCTACTAGACCATTTTAAGAATTTAAATTTTATCTAACGAATTGCATAAAATTGTTTCTTTTTCTCGATAACGGTCGCAGATACGAAAAAATCATAAGACGCAAAGTTTCTCAACAAAACAAAATCCAATTTTGATTTTAGAACTTACCACGACGCACCACACAAATGTTCAGGGGAAGAAAAGGGGGCATGAACCACGAAAAAATATTACTCTGTGGAATATCACAACCATTTGGCATGTGCAATGATGTAAGCCCTACAGCGTAACCTATATTCCAAATTTGAGCTAAATATCTCAAAAACTGTGGGAGCTATAGAGAAAAAACTAAAAAAATCTTAAAACTTCAACGCCCTGTAGATCGGTAACGAAGCGTTTGCAGACCTATGTTTATATGAACTTTTAGTCATGAAATAAGCCAAAGAATTACCCCCTCCCTTATGTACATGATATTTTGGAACACCCTGTATTTGTATTTACGTATTTTTAAATCTATAAATTAAAAACATTAAAATATCACGGCATTATGTTTCTTATTATGAGAGTAAAATAGCACATAGTTATTAGTAACGTTTTCTCAAAAATGTAACGTTACGCGAAAAACGTCGATTTATTACCTGAGATTTATTTCGAGTAATGTGCAGTCGCTACACTACAGGTTTCTCATGACCATGAAGTTAATAATTACAAGATCCTTTATCGAAATATCGTTGATTTAACAGACTAGTATTACAAAGCCAACAAACCCATTCAAATTTGCAACCTGTATAATTTATTCAATAAAATTTTGCAATTAAGCCAAGTTAGTTGCTTATGAATAAAAATTAATTATTTATTTATTTTTTTTTAAATATAATAATGGAGCCAGTCGGTCCTTGAGGTACACCAAGAACTACTACAGCTCGACCGAGACATGATAATGTTAATTAATAATATTGAGTTAAAAAAAATGCCATAATAATGAATCACCCCCTATATGTGGACTACTAAAAAACAACAAACCATTTGGCGATTTCTTTTTTTACTCACCAAATTGTAAATTTTTCATTATTTTTAAGTACTTTTCTTCCAGGGAAATGTCCGCTTTTCTTTCTATGGGCATTTCAGCATCAAAGAAACCGTCCGGTTCTATAAGCCCACTGGTGACTTTGGCGACCAGATTAGCCGTGTTCTGAATGTCAGGCATCAGGGTGGCCAGTCCCTCGCCCTGTTCGAGTTCCTCAAGTTGTTCGCCCAGTTTCGATTTCATCTTGGAATTCGACTTGGTATTTATCCTAAAATGAGACATATAAAAACATATAAGAAAAATTTAATTTGTCGATAAAGAGAAATGAATTTTCAATTTTATTATTCAAATTGAACATTTTACAAGACATATAACGTTTGCTTTACCTTAATTTAGAAGCGTAGGTATTTACACAGGATTTCATATTTTTCAGTAGAGCACAGATGGAAGGTTCGTTGGCCCTGGATTTTTGAGGTAGCAGTAAACTGACCAACTGCGAACTGGCGGCTAGAGCTCTCAGCAGTTGTAGTACGGCTTTGTACAGGGGTATATGCCGTGCCATATCCAAAACTAAAATAAAAATGCTGATGTAAAACATTCAACACACTTTCGTTTTATTTAAAACAAAACTCTGCTTAATTTTTGTTTACTGCAATATAATCAGTGGCATGTTTACCTTGTACATACAAAATTCTCAGGACAATAATTGGGAACAAGTAGGAATTTTAACAAACTATCACCAGACATTATAATATATATAGAGAAATAAAAGCTGATACTTTGATTTTTTTCTTGTTTTGCCCTATTTGTTCCCAAAGTTTTTTAAATTCTCATAAATTCTGTATATTATTGCAGTATTCTCGGAAATATTCCCAAAGTTCCTATTATTTTTTAGAAAATTCAAGTAAAAATAAATGCAACTGTTGGATAAAATTTGTGAAATAGAAATGGATTTAAATAATTTACATAAACTAATAAAAACACATGGGATCCAGTAATACACATAATCAAATTGTAATTAAAAAGAAAACATTTGGCAAAACAAGAATTGAATAAGTCCTAGAACAGTGGTTGGCAACTGGAGGACTGCAGGAGGTAAAAAACTGGAACGCAAAAAAAGTTTTGAAAGTATAATTACGAAAATTATTTAAAAAATATTTTTCTAACGTTTGAGTGCCACCCATATCATTTTTTAATGATTAATAGGTTAGTTAAAAAAACTGGCTCAAGATCCTAAATGTAATTCTTCCATTGATTTTTGAATACAAATATCTATTGCAGCAGTATTCAAACTGTGTTCCGTGGAACCCTGGGGTTCCGCACAACCTCTCTGGGGGTTGCGTGACTTATTCAAAAATTTAATTAAAATTTTATTATCGACAATTACAAAATTTAAAAAAATGTAGGACTCTTAAAACTTTTTATTTTTATAAGTACACGTGTATATGTTACTATAAGAGCTTTATCTATTTACACAAATGCAAGTAGTCGGCTTATAACTAAGCTGTCGCAGCGCGCTTCGCGTTGGTTACGTCCCCTTTCCTTTGATTTTTGACTAGAGATTTATAAGGAATATCCTGAAAGTGCTAACCAGGCAATAAATGTATGAATGCCTATTGCAACTACGTATGTAGCGACAAAAACAAAATATCGCAATGCGCTTAATGCAGAATTTGAAATGGGATTGCAACTTTAACTTTAAAAGTNCTGATAAAATACTTTGTCAGCAAATTAGCCTGTTATTGTACTCATCATTTAAAGTAGACCTGTGAAGTTATTTCCGGGTTATCAAGGTTTGACACACGCCGAAGCTCTACCAACTGGACTATAATCAAATTGTAATTAAAAAGAAAACATTTGGCAAAACAAGAATTGATTAAGTCATAGAACAGTGGTCGGCAACTGGCAGACTGCAGGAGGTAAAAAACTGGAACGCAAAAAATGTTTTGAAAGTATAATTACGCAAATTATTTAAAAAATATTTTTCTTACGTTTGAGTGCCACCCTTATCATTTTTTAATGATTAATAGGTTAGTTAAAAAAACTGGCTCAAGATCCTAAATGTAATTCTTCCATTGATTTTTGAATACAAATATCTATTGCAGCAGTATTCAAACTGTGTTCCGTGGAACCCTGGGGTTCCGCACAACCTCTCTGGGAGTTGCGTGACATTCAAAAATTTAATTAAAATTTTATTAACGACAATTACAAAATTTAAAAAAATGTATACTCTTAAAACTTTTTATTTTTATAAGTACACGTGTATATGTTACTATAAGAGCTTTATCTATTTACACAAATGCAAGTAGTCGGCTTATAACTAAGCTGTCGCAGCGCGCTTCGCGTTGGTTACGTCCCCTTTCCTTTGATTTTTGACTAGAGATTTATAAGGAATATCCTGAAAGTGCTAACCAGGCAATAAATGTATGAATGCCTATTGCAACTACGTATGTAGCGACAAAAACAAAATATCGCAATGCGCTTAATGCAGAATTTGAAATGGGATTGCAACTTTAACTTTAATAATCAGTAAAAAATGCTTTAGAAAATTTTTTTTAGGTGTAGGGGTAGGATTTTCTCAAAAAAATCGAAATGTTGGCAGGGTTCCGCAAGTCGTAAAAGTTTGAAGACCGCTGATCTATTGTATTTCATATTATTTTGCGAGTGAAAACTAAAATAAAAAATTTGTAACAAATATGAATTTTTTTTTCTAGACCTCGTAAAAAATTTTAAAAAGTATCCGGACTCCACCTAAAATTACTTGCCAACCCCTGTCCTAGAAGATCAGCTTACAATTTCTTGAGAAATACGATAAAGTGAAAAAAAAATTTGCGAAATTCTTAAAAAAACTACATACTCCATACCAAATGCATGACAAATCCGATTTTGCACCGCTTGCTTGTAAAATATAATGAAGCTCTAAAATATCATTTGAAAATCTCTACAAGATTTAAATTACCCCCAATTTTATACAAAATGATATTTCATTTTGTTTCTGAAACATTTTTTTTAGACGAGGGAGGACCAAAAAGTAATTGGAAGAAATTCACTCTTGTAGTCCAGACTTCTCCTGCTAGATGGGTGTTACGTAACCCCTCTTGAATGTTTGCTAAGTAGCATCGCTTGAGACGGTTGTAGCGAGCCCCTAAGATAGTTGAAGCAAGCCCCTGAGACAGTTTTCGTGTGACAACCGTTTCCCTTTTCAATTTTTTAAAATTGTTGATGTTCGAGAACAGCCTGCGGCATTGAAGTTTTGTTTTTCCACACAGTAGAATTGTATCAGACGCGGTCGATATGTTGCCTACAGCTTATAAAGAATGTCTTGAAAAAAACTCAAATATACGAGTGGTATTCACGATACAAACGTGCGACATGTCGATCGAAAAACATTCAACACCCAGGTCAGCCTTCCACGTCCAGAACTTGATGAAAAAGTGGAAGAATGTTTGTTACCCGAAAAAATAAATTCTGTGTTATTTAAAAATGGTGTCCAGTAACAGTTGTTAGTAGTAAATATTTAACCCCATATTATTTTTACAGGGTTCATAGTTCAAAAGTAATATTATAAAAAAAAGTCACTAGTAGTTCAATTTTACATACTAATTGGTGTTTATGCAATTAAACCTTTTCTAAACTGGACTCATTTTTAAACTCGAAGAACCTCTTATAAAGTTTTCAAAACCACAAATAGTTTTCTTTTTCAACAACACAGAGCCTGTTTTCACAAAGTTCCAGTGGCAAACAACAAATTCCCTGACTTTCATGAATACTTTTAAAATTCCCCGACTATTCCCTGTTTTTTATGAAGAATAATGAATTCCCTGACTTTTCCTGGCATTCCCGGTTTTAACAGCATATAATCAAATGACAGTCTGATGGAAATCGTAAGCACATTTACCTGAATCATTCCTAAGGTAGGAGCTTATAGCTGGCAGTAGAGAACTGTGCGCTAGAAGATCGTGGAAAGACTGCGGCAGGACATCGTCGTTCAATTCGTCACCCGCCTCATCGTTCGGATTAATATAACTGGATAACACCTGCAAGAGAACCGTCACATGCTCTTCTTCGTTCCTCTGTTTCATTAGAGCCTGTTCCACGTTCCAACTTTGCTGTGTAGACCCGGTGCCGTATCCGGTACCTAGCGGTCAATTAAGTGTGAAGTTAAGTAACGTTTACGGGTCAAATAAATTTTATTTTACCTTTTGCCCAGTAATGTTGAGCTCTCTCTTCTTTGCTCTTGGAACTCTGGCCGTCCTTATCACCGTTCGCGTTCGAGTGGTGGGTGAAGATACTGAGGCAGGCCAAAAGCAAGTGAACGACGCCAGTGTTGATGCTTATTTTCCTCAACAGGCGTCCGTCGTCGGTACTGAGCGGAGTGGCGTCGTACAATTTCCTCAGCACCTCGAAGGGTAATGTCGGCAAGGAATCGGCTACTGGCGATTGGAAGATATCTCCACCTAAAAAATGAACTCTTTTAGATAACTTTACGTTTTTAAAAGAATTTACTTACCTTCTCCGTCATCTGTGACTCCCAGAACGAGCCTGAGGAGACAGAGAGCCTTCCTCATGTCCTTCAAGAGCACTTCGGCATACCCTGGTAACCGAAGGAACAGCCCGAAAGCTGTAAGGGAATGAGGGGGGACATGTGAGATGAGTCCCGCCGATTTTGAAGGTGAACTGGTTCCTACTGTGTCTTCGAGGTCCTCGTATATGTCGTCACAATCTGAGACATAGGTCAAATTCAACAATCACGATGGACAAATATTTATTTGTAAATATAAGATTTCTCATTATGCATTTTTTTGAAATATATAATTTCTTTCTAGCTTTGGCACTGGAAACATCTATTACTCTGTTTTTTTTCTTCTACGCAGTGCCTGTGATGATGTAATCGACGGTTTTGAGATAATATTTACTTAGATTTAGATATTTCTGCCAAAACAATCGAAACATGTTCATCATCAACCACATAGTCAGAATATAAAAAATAGGTTATATAAAAATACCCGGTATGGCAGCTGTAAAAGTCGATTTTTCTTATTTGTCCAACTTTCAATATTTTTTTTTCGTGTCTTGTGAAAATATGTTAGTTTATCATGTTTTAAGAGCCAATTCAAAAGATCAGCTGAAAAAAAATTTTTTTAGAGGTCGATGAAGATTTTTAAAAATTTCCAAAATCGTCAAAAATTTAATTTAATTTTTTAATTTAGAAATCAAAATAAAAAAGGATAAAATAACGAGAAAAAAATATTTAAAAAAAAATAAAATTTTTGACGATTTNAAGAAACTAAATCATGTTTTAACATACAAACATACATACAAGATTTTCAGTTTTGTTGCTTTAAAAACTGCATATTATGATCTGTATCCTTTATGGCTAAATCTGATTAAATAAAATGTGTTGAAGAACATATAGCAGAAAAGCCTTCGTACTACTAATAATTCCGAATAGAAAAATATAAAAACTTAACTCAGTGCTAGTCTGTAATAATAATAATAATAATAATAATAATAATAATAATAATAATAATAATAATAATATTTATTATCCAATAGACAATACAATTAATTGTATAGGAACAGTCACAGTCAATTCTTACAAACTAGTACAAACACAAACAAAACATGCACCAATTGACGTGAAATTTTAACAGTAATTAGAAAATTGCTCATGAAACAAAAGTTACATAGTGCCGATGTGTGCTTTTGCCCTGGGGGTAAATGCTACCCATTCTCGGAGGTGGCAATGAAGGTACCCATTTTAATCGCAAAAATCAATAGAGTAGTGCTGGCAAAAACCGGAAAAAAGTGAAACCGGTTAACCGGGTTCCGTAAAAACCGATTTCAGATAAAACCGGTTCGTCGAATAGTTGCTAAAACCGGTTATTCGAATAACCCGTTACTTGAATCGCCAAAACCGGATATCTCAAAATCGGTGCTTTACAAAGACAGACCCGGAGAAATTGATGTTTAAAAAAAAAGGTCTTGACAAAACTCTGGAAGTCAAATTTGTTTACAAAGAAATCGATCTCCAAAAAAAAAGGTTAATTGCAATCGGACAAATCGATGTCTAAAAAAAAGACCTAGATTATCGAATAATCGGTTATTTGAATAATCGAATATTTGAAGAATCGAATAACCGAATAACCGGTTTTCGGGTTTCGTAAAAATCCGATTTATCCGAAACCGGTTAACCGACTATCCAAAAAACCGATTTCAGTTGCCAACACTAG